CTAGAGCAGCGGTTCTCAACCTGTGGGTTGTGACCCCTTTGGGGGTCGCCTAAGACCATCGAAAAACACATATTTCTGATGGCGATTCATAACAGTAGCAAAATTACAGTTATGAAGTAGCAATAAAAATAATTTTATGGTTGGGGGTCACCACAACATGAGGACTGTATTAAAGGGTCGCGGCACTAGGAAGGTTGAGAACCACTGCTAGAGGATGTGACCCCACCCCCACCCCCACCCCCATGAGAGGTACCTGGGGTGAGCTTCAAGGTGTCTGTTCTATGCCAACCCTGTCTGCCTGCCCGGAGGAGGATGGGCTTCCAGCGGCCTGAGTCCTTGATGCTGTCTTGGCCTTCCCCTCTCTCTGTGCTCACCCCAGCCGTGCTCATACCCTCCTGCTCACTCTCCCTGGACCCCCCTGCTCTCTGGCCCAGATCCCCCCTCCAGGCTCTGGACATAGCTCCCTACTTGTGTGCTTGGGTGTTCACTTCCTTGTTCCGTCATTGCCTCGGCCAGGTGAAGCACACAGTAGGTGCTGCTCCTGTCCTGGGAAGCCCTGACTAGGGCAGCCCTTGGCCTCTGGTGTGGGCAGCTCTGGGAAAAACACTCTGAGTCACCTTTGCAGCCACCAGGGAGAAGAAGCCTTCCTACCAGGGAGACCCCAGGGGTTCAGTTCCACAAAAGGGTTCACCTTCCACTGCTGGGCCTGAAGCTGGAGAGCTCTAGAGCCCCAGGCTTGGGTATGCCCTGGAGGGCAGGATGCAGGGTGGGGCCCCAGGCCAGCTTTCCTTCTGCTTCCTGATGTCTCCAGAGGCGTCGGCGAGGCGGGGCCCAGACTTTGCCCCTGGCACCTGGAGCCTGCCCAGGGCTGGCCCCTCTGGCCCCATCTCATGCTCTCTGAGTCTTCTCCACCCGGGCCAGGCCTGACCTGATCTGAAAGGCCTGAACACACTCTAGTCAGAAGGAGTTAGCACAGCAGTTTCTTTAAAAAAAAAAAAAAAAATTATTTTTCTTTATTGATTTTAGAGAGAGAGAGAGTGGAAGGGAGAGATAGAAAGAGATAGAAACATTGATGAGAGAGAACATTGATTGGCTGCCTCCTGCATTCCCCCCACTGGGAATTTGGCCCACAACCTGGGCATGTGCCCTGACCGTGAATCGTACCGGCAACCTCTTGGTGCACGGGTCCACGCTCAGTCAGGGAGCCCCACCGGCCGGGCATCACAGCAGTTTACTGAGGCAGGAATGGCCATGGGGGAGCAGAGGGAGTGGGTTTATAGGAAAGGAACACTGTGCTCTAAGCCACCTTCTTACCCCTTCGCATTCGGAGGGCCGCCTGGTAGCTGGGCTCTCATGCCATCTAGATTTGCCCATCCTCTTCCTCAGTACTCATCTGCCCGCCCAGGGCTGGCTAGTGGCATGAGTGACCTCTAAGGGCTCAGCTCCAGTAAAAAAGAATTGTTCCCAGGCTCTGGGATGTGAGCCTGGAACTGGGGCCTGGTGGGATCCAGAGGCAGGTGAAGCACAAGGACTACTTCTCGGAGCACCAATCTAGCTAGAAACAGACGGCAGCCAGCTGGATTTCAGAGGGGTAGGGCATGGGGGTGGGCGTAGGCAGGGAGGACTCCTGGAGGGGGTGGGACAGGAGCCTGGCCTTACAGGGCAGGAAACGACAATGAAGGGAGGCACTGAGTGGATGCTGAGGGGGTGCCTCAGGATCTCCCCCACCAGGTCACAAAAGTCTCCATACCCTAGAGGTCTTCATTGTATTCAGTCCCCAGCAGGCTGGTGGGAAGCAGCCTCTGGGGTGCCTCAAGAATGCTGTGGTGGTAGCGTCCAGAAGGTGGCTGTCACGGTGACCTGAGGCAAGAAGAAAACTATTTCAAGCTTTCTCTGGGTCACATGTTGTTATAGATGCCTATGGAGGTTACCTTGTTATTTCATTTCATCTGCCAGTGACTCGTGAACAAGTACAGCTCATTTTACAGATGAGGACCAGAGACATACGGGCCTTACCTCAAGCCACACAGCCAGCAAGGGGTGAAGTTAATTCAGAATCCACAACTCTACTTGCCTTATTTTATGGCAAGGTTGAGGAAGGGCAAGGGCTGGAGTGCTTGTATTGAACCATCATCCACTGTCAGGGGCAGCCATTCTGGAAAGAGTGAACAGGGTCCGAGGAGTGCAGGGTCCATTGGTGGGGCCTCTGCCAGGTCTGGGCTCCCCAGCTCCGCATGTGATCCAGAGGGTCTTTCCTCCCTTGCACACTTCCCTCCTCTTTTCTTCCTCAGTAAGAATCCCCAGACTTGCAGTGATCTTGTCGCCAGGGTTGGCTCCGGGTCTTTGTACCATAGACCCATAATTCCTTCCAAAGGGAACAGATGTGACCTGGATGTGTGAAGTATCTGGGCAGCTGGTGGGGTCGGTGGGAAGAGCGCTGGGCAGGAAGGCAGGTGCCCTGCTGGCTTCAAACAGGCCACCAGCCTAGGCAGATGGGGCTACCTCTTTGGGCCACCTCATCTCCATTCTGGTGGAGTTGGGAGGTGGGGATTATGGAGACTAGAGGTAGACTGGAGGTAGGGGGCTGGGGAGCATCAGGGAAGAGGAAGACCGCTTTTCCCCAAAGCCTGGTTCTGTAGCTCTGCTGCCCTCTCGTGGTGGCACGGAGTAACAGAGACAGGATCCCATGGAAAGTCATGCTGGCCATCTCCGTGCCTCCCCCACACAGGGAAGAGGGGTTCGGTCTTAGTGACCTTTACCAGCCACCGCCTTCCTCAGGGCTGCTTGTGTTCTGGGTGAGAGAAGGCAGTCATAGCCTATACATAAGATACCCACAGCTACGCCCAGGATTGTATGCATTCATTCTGCAAGTGGTGGAGGGTCTGTAGTCTGCAAGGCCTTGTGCCAGGCCCTGGGGATTAAGAGGTCCTTGGCACACCATTTCTGCCCTCAGAGAGCCTCTATCCAGGGAGAGAGCACACAGGCAAATCACAGACTCTGGAGAAAGTAGAAAATGTGGGGGCTGCTCCGATGTGTGACATTGTAACCCTTGGGAAGTACATAGCCAGAAACTGTGGGGCCCTGACTGTTGGTTTGTCCTGGGCACATGGGCTTCCAGCCTCATGGGCTTAGAGGCCTTTCTACTAGGTCAGTGGAGTCTCCTCGCAGATCCTTCCAGAAGAGCTGGGTCACCCTCCCCATGGGATGGCTGGATTTCTGCCCGTGCCTCCTGTTCCCCTGGCTAGGAATGGGACGGATGGAGATAGCAGACCTTGCCTTGTCCCTGCGGCCTTTTCTACCTGTACCCTCCTCCTCAGACCTGGTCTGGGAGCCCTCGTTCCAAACATGATGGAGAACCTCAGGTCCAGGGTATCTACCCGCCTCAGGCTGGTACTCTGCGGGCCTCCCAGCTCCAACATGTGTGGGTAGCTGGTGAGAAGCTTGACTGCCACCCCACTGGGGCCCTGCCCCTGGCCTTTGGAGGCTCTGCTGTAACTCGGCAGCCTGGAGGGGGGGCACCTTGGAGAAGGTGGGAGTATCTTCAGTGAGTATCAAGGAGCCTGGATGCGTCATGTTGCTGGGAAAGTAGACGAGTCTGACTCAGTGGGAACATCCGTCAGGAAAGGAAGCGATAGACAACGCTGGCATTTCCAAGGGGACTCTGGGGCTATGGAGAGTGGGTGTGGGGTCAGGGGTGCTGTGTGAAGGCCTGGCCAGGAAAGAGACTAAACATGGTGCGGAGGGGAGGGCAGAGGGGCGGTTCATCTCGGGCTAGTCTAGGGAAGACGGAGGGCAGTGGGGCTGTCTGCTCTGGAGACAAAGGGAACAAGTCATGGCATAGGATTAGGGAAACTGAGGCCCTATCAATTGGGGATGTAGGGAATGCAGGGACTCTGACCCTTCAGGGCCCAGAGGCTCTCAGAGTGGGACTGCCAGGTGAGTGGCTGCCCCGGGCAGAGGGACCAGCCTTAGCTGTACAGGGAGAGTTCAGGCGGAGACTTTCCCAAGAAAGGCTGCTTCCTTCCTCTGGGTCAGAGAGGCTGAAAGAGCAAGTCCTAGAGAGCAAGGCCAGGGGGGCCCAGAATTAGGAGGCTGAGGAGGGAAGGTTGGTGGCCATCGGTGAGCGGTGGTGGCAAGGGCCCCTCACCCTGCTCCAAAAAGAGACACCAACAGCCGAGCCTCCCAGGAGGGGATGCACTTTAAAATACAGGAAAGAGCCCTGGCTGGTTTGGCTCAGCAGTTAGAGCATCAGCCTGTGGTCCAGAGAGATCCGGGTTTGGTTCCCACTAAGGGCACGTACCTTGGTTGCAGTTTGTCCCCAGCCCCAGTTAGGTCAGGGCCATGTGGGAGGAGGCAGACACTTGATGTGTCCCTTTCACGTTGATGTCTCTCTCTCTCTCTCCTTCCTACTCTATCTGAACACACAAAAAAATGGAAAAATGTCCTCAGGTGAGGATTAAAAAATAATAATAATAATAATAAAATCTTAAAATAAATAAAATACAATACAGGAAGGACGAGGTTCCTAAAAGAAGAAATGACTGATAGTATTACTTGAGGTATGATGTAGTATTTGGTAGTGTGAGGAGGAGGGCTTCTTGATCCTTTCTCATTATTTTAACTAGGGCCAGTGAGGAGAGTGAGGGGAGGCTCCTGTGAGGTGGGGGCCCTCAGACGGGGAGCCGGGTGGGCGGGGTCCTGTGGGCCTTTCCCTCTAATGGGAGGGTGGAAAGCTGCCCATCTGTCTGCAGGCAGGCCCAGGCCAGGCCTTGTGGGGCACAGGGCCTTGGGGAAAGCAGGGCCTGGGGCAGCCAGGTCCCCTGTGTTGGCTCAGCCTGCCAGGGAGAGGTCCCTGTTGGTCTGTCTGGGGACGCTGGGGCAGGGCAGGGAGAGGTGCTGGGCAGGACCAGCTGGCTGCCGGTGCCCGGGTCCTCGCCCTCGGAGAGTGGATGGGTGGGGGCAGTGGCCGAGGCGTTCCTGGCTGGGAGCCCAGAGCAGTCTTTTGTAATCACAACATGATCTCGTGTGCTGAGCAGCAACAGCGGCCGGGAGAGGCCGGCAGAGGCCTGGCTCCGGTGGCTCCGGCGTCCCTCCTGCTTTGGCTCTCCCGGGGCTGCTCTGGAATTCTCCTCGTGCCCGCTGCTGCCATGCACTCAGCTGTGAGTGGCATCTTGCCCTTGGTGGAGGGCTTCTGGGGCTGGGAGAGAGTTGAGACACCAGGAAGCCATACTCTGGTGGCAGCTGGGGACAGCTGGGCCTGGGAGGAAGAGGGCTGTGCCTAGGCAGGCGGGGGGCTGGGAAGGGGCATTGGTGACAAAGGAGACCTTGCAGCCAGACAGGGAGGGACAGGGGCCTCCCTGGAGCTGGCTCTCTCTTGTGCCCACTGCCAGCAGCTCACTGTCTAGAGAGGCTGGGCCCCTGGGAGCGACTCTTTCCCACAGGCTGGACACAGGCCTGGGGAGGGGGTCCAAGGCTGGGAGTTCAGGACGGATCAGGGGCCTCTCCTTTTACTGTGGTTCTGGGCCTGGGAGCTGAACAGCTCACTCCCCGACCTCCTGAATCCCCTGGCAACTTCCCAGTCAGGCAGGTTCTGCTGCCAGAGCCATTTATAACTCCAGGCTGCGCACAGTAGTGGAGCTCCCAGGGGAGCTGGGGGAGGGGCAGCCCACTGAAGGAGCTGTGGGCCTGGGTGTGAGGCCTGACGTGAGCCTGAGAATGCAGAGCGGTGGGCAGAGAGGCCTAGGGGTGGGGGCTTGGGCCTTCTCTGTGCTGTCTCCTCTTGTGACCCAGGCTCTGGGTCTGCATCTGTTCCTTGGCTAGTAAGAATCTGGTTGGGTGGGAAAGTTGGGGCACCGGTAAAAGTTGGGCCCCTGCCCTCTGCAGTGGCCTTCTGGGGCTGAGCCCCCAGTGAGCAGGCAGGAAGAGAAGAGTGCAGAGCTGGACCGGAGGATAGTTGCTCTTCGCAAGAAGAACCAGGCCTTACTACGCAGGTACCAGGTGAGTGGGCTGTGCCCGGGGCCGGGAGGACTGACAGGGCTGGCACTCCCCGTCCCACACACAGAGCCGTGTGTGGAGGTCTCTCCCTGAAGGCTCAGCCCGGGGCCAGGGCTTGGGTGGGTGTGGTCCATCGTGGAGACTCTGTGAGCAGCTTTGGGACTCCATGGTGTGGTGCCTCTGCCCCCTGGTGTCCCACAGGTCTCTCTCTGTGTAGGCCTGTCAGCGTCTGTGTCTCTGTGCCTCTGGTGGCCATGCCTGTGCTGACCCCAGGCCCTCCCACAGGAGATCCAGGAAGACCGTCGGCAGGCGGAGCAGGGGGGCATGGCTGTGACCACGCCGGAGGTCCTCCGACCTGACAGTCTCACCATCACCATCAGCCAGGTTCCTGGTGTAAGCCCCCCCGCGAGATAGGACAGGGCAGCAGGGAGGTGGACGCCCAGCCTGTGTCGGGGAGGACAACCACCCCTGATCCTCTGCTTTCCCACTTACAGTTCTGGGGTACTCTCCAGCTTCCAACCTCTTGCAGCCCAGGCCACTGCTATACCCCCGTCCCCAAAGGGCCACAGCTGAAAGGTCAACAATAGATGCCTCCTCGTACCCTGTTCCAGCCCACAGCCCTGTACATGTGCCTCAAAGCACAGGCTACTCCTGAACCCCCAGCCCCAGGGCTCGGAGAGTTGGGGCTGAATGCTAGGGACAGTGGGTGAGGGACAAAGCCCCATTGTCCAAGTGCTCTAAACTTCCCAGCTCAGAGATGACGGGTCTCTGTGGCATCTTGGGCCCCAGGGTGGTTCCAGGCCTTGATAACCTAATGCCTCTGGCATGTGAACACCCCATGGAGTCAGCTTCTCTGTGGGCACTCCAGGGAGGGCCAGGGCGGGAGCCCGGCCTGGGGAACCACCCGAAGGACCCAGCCCCCAGCTTCTGCCCAGCACTGCCCACATGGTCTGAGGGCAGAGCACCTCGTTCCACAGGAGAAGCGGGTGGTCAGCCGGAACTGGACAAGGAGCAGCCTTGGGCCTGGAGCAGCCAATGAGATGCTCGAGGATGAGGAGGTGGAGGACCACACCGACACTTTCTGCTTGGGGGAGCGGGTGGAGCTGGCGGTGACTATGGAAAACAAAGCCGAGGTGAACAGAGTGGGTGAGGGAAGCCCAGGGAGCAGGTGTGTAGCCTCTTTGCCCAGCTCTGCCACATTGCCCGTACTCACCTCCCTAGGCCAAGCGGATCGTAAGTGAGAAGCCCACCAGAGCAAGGAACCAGGGGGCAGAAGGGTCACCTGGAGATGGCGTGGGCTGGGGCTCCTTCACGCAGATGGTCGGCAGCTTGGATTCTGCACGGAAAGTATATCTTCAAGAGGGGATGGGTACATGAATGTGGTGGTGCCCGATTGGGGGAGGCCAAGAAGCCGAGTTATATGTGTCCCCCATCTGTGGGGACATGGCCAGGCAGCACTGGCAAGAATTCCTACCCCTTTTTCCTTCCTTGGTCCAGTTCCTATGTTGGGTGGGCCTTGCAGTGAGAGACAGGGTAAGCCAGAGTTGTGATCCAGCTCCTCACCCTCCCTGGATCTCTGGTGGCAAGGGGGTGGGGGCCTTGGGTGGGGCCAGGAGGGTGCTGGGGACTGGCCATGTGCCAGGTTTGACCTCTAGGTGGCAGCAGCACCTAGTCCTGGCTCTTGCTCACAGCCACTGGGAGCTCCTCCACTTGGCCTGGCCACACCCCTGCAACAACCCTCTGGATAGGTGCTATTATTTTTATTTTTATTTTTAAATCCTCACCCGAGGATACTTTTTCAAATATCTTCAGATAGAGTGGGAGGGGGAGAGAGAGAAAGAGAAACATCGATGTGAGAGGGACACATTGACTGGCTGCCTCCCACATGACCCCAACCAGGGCCGGGACAAACTGCAACCAAGGTACATGTCCTTGACCGGAATCGAACCCTTGAATCTTTGGTCCACCGGCCGATGCTCTAACCGCTGAGCCAAACCAGCCAGGGCGATAGGTGCTATTATTATCCCCATTTTACAGATGAGGAAATGATACGCAGAGAGGTTAAGTAATCTGCCCAAAAGACAGACAGCAAGTGGATGGTAACTGTGCCAATGGCAAACAGCACATTAGAGACGAAAAACATCTAATATTTAGATGGGGACAGCAAAACCTTGAGAGAGGAAGGGGTTAGTAGACTCTGATTTACACTCCAAGCCCAGGGCTCTTTCTACTTCTACCCCGTGGTTCTGAGTGTCTTCTCCTGGCAGGGCGCTTGGGAGCCCCGGGGTCCAGGCCTGGTCCCAGGCTCAGCTCCCCGTCGGCCAGTGTGCGGGCCCCTTGAGGTGGGCTGGGACTATGCCCAGTGGAAGCAGGAGCGAGAGCAGATCGACCTGGCCCGCCTCGCCCGGCACAGAGATGCACAGGGCGACTGGCGCCGCCCATGGGACCTGGACAAGGCCAAACCCACGTGGGTGGCAGGACAGGGAGGCTTGTTGGGCTGACCTGCTGTGGGGCTTGGGGTGGGTGCTTCTTGGAGGGATGGTGGGACCCTACCCAGGATGGTGAAGGTCTGCCTGGGCCTTCGGGTCAGGGCTCTGTGTGGGCATGGGTCCCCCACCTTTCTTGGGCCCGCCATCTCCCTGCTGCCCCCAATTCTGGCACCAGGTTGGGGAAGGTAGAGTAGCTGTGGTCTTGCTGCAGTCTCTGTCCTCCCTGCACCAGCAGCCTCACTGCCTCTGTCTCCACAGGCTACAGGACTCCAGCAGGCCTCGGGGAGAGGGCCTGGGCAGGGCAGGCGGCACCGGGGGTGAGCCAATGCCTCCCCTCCCCCTCCTCGGTCCTTTACACCCTTCTCCCTCTTCCTCTCTTTTCTCTGTCTCTTGGTTTACCACTTATTTTTAGAGCTGGAAAGAAGCTAGAAGGACATCTTCATTCCTCTCCCTTGCTATCAGAAGAGGTCACCATGACCTCCCTGCCCACCCTCCAAAACCCTAGCTCTTACCCCAGGCTCTGACCTCAGACGCCAGGGGGGAGACGGCTCATGAGGAAGTCTGCGCTGGGTCCTGCTGAGTTGTTGGTGCCACATGGGTGAAGGCCCTCGTTTCCCTGCCCCTGGCTGGGGAGGAGCAGGGCTCTGCGAATCACTGGCCCCTTATTTTACACATGGGGGGGGGGGGCGCTGGTGCTGGTGCTGGAGAGGCTGGCCAGCCACTCGGCCAGAGTGGCAAAGTGAGCACAGGGACCCAGCTCTCTGATCTCCAGACCAGGGCTCAATGTGGGACCAAGACAAGGACCAACAACTTCCTGGTCCTGGGAGAACTGGTGTCCCTGCTCTAAACTGGTGTTTGGATCCTTTGTCACCTCACCCTTTACCCACTCCTTTGCCCACTTAGGTCCCAGGAGCCACCGGAAGCCACAGCCCCCACCATTGCCTCCTGATGGCAAAGGTGAGTTGGGAGAGGAGGGGGAGCAGGGTCCCGTGAGCTGGTGAAGGAGCTGGACTAAGGTCCTTGTCTTGCCTTGATCTGTGAACAATTTCTTGCAGGTGGTACCAGTCGGGGTGGGCAATCTAGCAGACCCTTGGTGGCACCGGCCACACGCAGCAAAGCCCGAGGGACGGAGAGGCTGACTGGCAGGGCCCGCAGGTAACAGGTGGCCGGGAGCAAAATCAAGGGAGGCATCAGGGCCTCCTGATTCCCTGGCTCTCCTTCGCCCCTGGGAATTGAGGACCCACACTGGTCCAGGTGCCTGCTCTGGCCCTCGGGGCCTCTGCCTCCTGGTTGACTGCTGACTTCTGCCCGGTGGCAGGTTAATGAGATGCAGGGAGAGGCCATCGGCAAAGGCAGCGGCAGCAGGAGCCTGGTGCCCAGGGAGGCCAGTGGTAATTACAGCAGTTACCTTCCTGTGGGAAGTCAGGTGTCTTTCCCAGACAGCGCAGGCGGGGACATGCCTGGAGTCTCCACAGAACTCAAGATGCTGCAGGCCTGGCCACGAGATAGGGCTAAGGAGGGCAGTGCTCAGAGGAATCGGCTGAATTTGGGAGCAAGACGGGCTGGAAGAGAAGCATTTTAGAGCTTTGTTCTGGCACCGATGCTCCCGAGACCCTGGGGCACATGGACCACCAACTATGGTGCTGGTGACGTGAAGCGGGTGGGTAAGAGGAGCGCCTGCCGTTTGCTGTGTTTCTACAGGTGGGAGTCCAAGGAAGACAAGGAGGAGGTGGGGAGCCAGGAGGTGGGTACCTGGACAGAGGATGGGATGAGGTGGGGACACGAGCCCTGGATTTGCCAGCCAACAGGGCCAATTTCTTGTTTCAGGGAAGTCAAAGCACCAGCCAGACTCAGACCGAGAAGGAACATGCACAGGCACAGAGCAGGATGGAGCAGGGCAGACCCCCGAGTGTCCCGGCAACCAGCCCAGCTCCGGCATCCCCAGAGGGGCCAAAAGGGGAATCAGGAACTTCAACAGCCAGTCCAGTCCCTGGCTCTCCACAAAACACTGACTTGGTTCCCCTTGACCTTTCCCGAGGAGGCACCAGTAGCCCTGGGCCTGGGAAGAGCGTGTGTGTGCTCAGTTCAAAGCCTGGGGCCCAGGAGAATCCTGTGTCTGGGTCAGATGGTTCTGAACAGCCCCTGGGGTGGAATGATCCCCACGCTGAGCAGGAAGTCCAGACTTGCTCTGAGCCACAAAGAGCAGCAGGGCCCCTAGAGCCCAGAAAAAACAGGTCTGGCAAGGCTGGGGCCCTGCAGGGCCTGGCACCACAAAGCAGGCCCCCCAGAGGAACTGGCCAAAGAGCGAGGGGCACAGGCGGTGTGAGGAGCAGAAGAGGGGGCCCTGGCCCTGCAGGGAGATGCTGAGCAAAGCTCCCGGGAGCAGGGGCACCAGGCTGGGCAGAGAAGGGAAGAACACAGTCAAGAGCCTTCTTTGTAATGGGCGTCTGGTTGCTGTGGCTTGTAGCAGTCTGGCTGAACAGTCTGGCAAACTCTCTGACAGTGACATTGTGAGGGCAAAGAGCTGTCTTTCCCTGCACCTCGTGTGCACAGCCCTGCACACGTGTGTGTTTTCACCTGCAGGTACAGCCCCTAGCCCCTGGTGTATTCCCATGCCACACCGGATCTCTGAGGCTGGTAAGCCCTGTTTTGAGTCTACTGCTGCCTAGGCTACAAGCTTCCCCACATGGCGAGAGGGCAAGGCTGAGAAGCACTTAGCACCTGGCTTGCACAGCCGCCCACTCCAGCTGCCAGCTTTCAGCTCCTGGGGTGCGGGCAGCCTCAGCAGCTGGTGTGACCAGTCCAGACCGGGGCCCTTTCCCTCGCCTCTGCCTTGCACCCAGATGACTCAGCCTCAGACTCACAGGGTGGTCAAACCAGGGGCATCTCACCAATAGGCCAGAAGCCTTCTGCCTTTCTGGAAGAGGGGGCTGAGGCCCAGAGAGAGGGAGGCCACAGCTGGCAGAGGCTGAGCTGGGAATAGAGGAGCAGAGCTCAGGTCTCCCCTGGAAAGACTTCCTCTCTGAAATAGGGTGAGGTTGGGTGAGGAGGGGACAGTCAGGTTGGAGAGCTTACCATCAGGGGCCCCTCCCCCACACCAGGTTAGACATTGAGTGCACCCTAAATGGGGGTCAGGGAGCAGCCCTGCAGCGGGGTCATTTCCTGCCATCTCCTGCTTCCTCTCCCTACCACCTCGCTGCACCACGGTCAGGCAAAAGCAAGGACTCAGACAGGATCTCAGGAGAAACAGCGGCTGCCACTAAGTACAACATCAGGACTTGTCTTTCCTACTTAAGTCTCCATTCCTGCCCCTCCTCTGAGGCCCCGTCTGGTGAATTATCCAGAAGCCGCACAAGCTGTGGCTTCCTCTCAATTCAACAAACATTTCCTGAGCACCCACTACTAGCAATGCAGCCGGTGGGCGATGGTGACTTTGCCAGCAAGAGGGAGGAAGGAAACCTAGTCATCCAGCAGATCCAGGCTGCACAGCAGGAGCTGTTCTTAGCTGTAGGACCCTGACAGAGGACAGGGGCTGGGACGGTGGTAGGAGCGCAAAGGGAGCCATCCCACCTCTGCTAGCAAAGGCCAGTACCCCTCCCTTCTCAGCAATTGTGCCCTTTGCCCCCAAGCCCTTGCCTGGACCTGTCTCCCCATGTGGTCCCCTCTGCTCCCCTCCTCTCTGGTCCTGCCATAGATGTTCCTCTCTGCTTAGTGGGCCAGGCCGCACCAGCCTCCCTAGGTTCTCTAGGGCGTGACCGGATCGTCCCCAGGATTTCTCCATTGTCAAAGTGAGGCCTTAACCTCAAGGTCACAGCCTGGGCTTCCTCACTGGCTCTCGCTCCACCCTCCCCAAGCATTCAGGAAGCCAGAGGAGGGGGTCAGACTGTTTACAGCAGTGCTTCTCACACGCTAAGGTACAGAGTAAGGCAGCTTCTAAAGCAGTAGGTCTGGGGTGGGCCTGGGAGTGTGCATTTCTGGTGCATCTCCAGGTGAGGCTTATGCTGTTGATTCCTGGACCACTCTTTGAGCAGTAAGGGTTTGGACTAACATGTATGGAGAGCTTCAGGCAAAGCCAGCCTGGACTCTCAGGGCTTGCTGCTGGTTGTGTCAGGGAGGAGGAAGCATGGCCCCTGCCGGTGGAGCTTCTTGGCCTCAGAGCTGGATGAGGAACCTAGGCAGCTGGAAGATGCTTGAGGGGCCAGTGAGTGGTGGTGCCAACTTCCTGTAGTCGAGAGTGAGAGCCAGGTGGGAATGGGATGAGATGAAGGGGTGGAGAAGGTTGGTGTGGGGTTGATCGAAGGGCTTTTGAAAAGGCTTGGGAACATTCCTATGCATGTGGGAGAAAGACCCCTGTGAAATGAACGGCAAAATGAGAGTCCCAGCTCAAGTTCTCTCCTTGCCTTCCAGTCACACAAACATGGTTTTGGGGCTTGGATCTGGCCCCGGAACCCCTGACTCCCCAAGGATGGAGCTGGGGTAGAGCAGGTTCAGGCAGAACCTTGAATGCAGGTGTCTCCAAAAATAACTGTGATCAAGAATTTGAATTCTAAGATTCACAAACTGCTTCCAACCGTACAGATATGCCTTCGTTCGAGGGAAGGTGCCGAGGCATGTTTAACCAGGGGATGCGGATTTAGTATTTTGGCAAAGTTCTGGTTCAGCCCTCACAACAGGACATAAAAACAAGAGAATAAGCTGGACCCTGGCTGGTTTGGCTCAGCGATTAGAGTGTCAGTCCACAGACCAAAGGGTTGAGGTACGAATCTCAGTCAAGGGGTCAAGGGCACCTATGTAGGTTGCAGGCTTGATCCCCCAGGGCTGTTGGATTGGCAATTGATCATTGTGTCTCTCTTACATCAATTTTTTTTTCCTCTCCCTCCCTCCCTCTCTCCCACCCTTTCACTCTATCTGCAAATCAATGGGAAAATATCCTCAGTGAGGATTAACAGAGAGAGAGAGAGAGAGTGTCAGCTGGACAGAAGGGCTATGGAGAGATAGGGCTTCTCTCCCTGAGGGTGAGTTTCAGAAGGATGTCAGGAGAAAGGATGTCATGGGAGTCACTAGGGGCTGGAGAGAATGAAGACCGGCACAGGACATCTTCACTGGAGGAAGACTGTAGGGCGAGGCAAGTATCACTGAGCTTAAATAAAAAAGGGGAGCCCTTCACCTGGCTGGTGTGGCTCAGTGGATTGAGCGTCGTCCCATGGACTGAGAGGTCCCAGTTTGATCCCCAGTAGCGGGCGTGCAGGAGGCCGCCGTTGGATGTTTCTCTCTGACATCAATGTTTCTGTCTCTCCCTTCCTCTCTCTCTAAAAAAGGGGGGAGGGGAGCCCTTCCTCAGAATAAAGGGAACCAGCAGTTATGAGGGGCGCCCTTTCTGCTCTAGGATGGGACAGATACAGAGCAGGAGGGAAACGTGGGTAGGTAACGTTCCACAAACCTCAGGGTCATGGAGGGCTGGTTTTCTCTCTTCCTGGATCCTTAAGGCCTGGCTGGGAGCCTTCCTCTTGGAATTCCCTTCTCTTCTCCAACCAAGAGACAAGGTTGCTCCTAAAAGTGGGCAGTTCTTCGTGGGACATGGCTACCAGGAGCCCAGGCACAGAGCTGAAGGAACTGAGAAGGGAGATGACAGTGCTACCTGGCCTCCCAGCAAGGAGAGCAGAAGAGGCAGCAGGCATCCCTGTCCTGGGCCCACACCGCTTTGCTGAGAGGGGCAGCGGACCAGATTGCAGGGGAAGTACATTTTGTTTCAAGATTTTTTTTATTGATTTTGAGAGAGAGAGGAAGGGAGAGAGAGAAAGAAACATCGATGGAACATAGATCGGCTGCCTCCTGCATGACCCCCACTGGGAATCGAACTCACAACCTGGGCATGTACCCTGACTGGGAGTCAAACCCAGCAACCTTTCGGTGCACAGGATGACCAACTGAGTCGCACCCACCAGGACAGGAGGTACGATTTTTGATGACAGGCAGCGTGGCAGAGTGGGACACACATGAGCCTTGGACTCGGACAGACTGAACCTGACTCCTGTTTGCCATCTGCTAGCTGGATGACCTCGGTCAGTTTAACCTCTATACGCCTCAGTTTTCTTATCTGCAACACAGGGCTAGTAATACCTACCTTGAAGGGTTGTTCAGAAAATTACAGATAAGATTTTGCAAAATATGCCTGACACACAGTAGGCACTCTATTAACAGTAACCTGGTACCCAGAAGGCACTTAGAAGCTATCTGTTGAATAAATGAAGTAGCTATTTGGTGTGATCTCTGTCTACTTTGTTTCCCATCTTTTCCTTTACTTTCTCTTCTAGCCTCATCTTCACTGGGACCAGCACACCCTCAGGGAAACAAGAGATGGTTTATAAAGTTCATCATTCCGGGACAGTGAGCTGCTTTCATCCAGGGAAGTCTAGTTGAGTCAAAGCCTCAGGAAGTGACCCTTCCCTTACAGGGAGGGCTCTCTGTCCCCACCCACCAGCGGGAGCCAGGCATGTCTAAGTTATTTCCACCTGACTTTGCACATTGGCTCCCACAGCTGAGTGGTTCCTCTTGCGCTCTGTTCACATCAGTAGGAATCTCATGAACTTCCACCGGTATTTACTTCCTTAATATTTCCCCTAAAAATAAAACTCCCTCGTGGAGTTTGCTCCATGCCTCCTGGTGTTAAGTTTTGTCATCCAAAGGAGCGGCATGATTATATTTTCTTATGCTCAAGGGATGGTAAATGGGGATCCCTGAAAGCAGGGGTTCCCCAGCTACCTAACAAGGCACAAGTTGGGAAGGTTTGGCCACCAGTCAACTCCAGTTCCAACACTGGACTCAGGGACAGGAATAATAGGTAAAGATGGAACTAGCCCCCCCAAAAAACAAACAAACAAAAAAACCCAGCAAAGATCCCCATGTCTTCTTATTTGGGGGACTACATCAGAGGGAGTCAAGGGAATAGGAGAAACTAAAAACATCAACCACTTCACTTCTGCCTCTTAAGTCATTTATCAGCATCCACAGACCCCGGCAAGTGTCTCTCTGAGCGAGGGTTATCGGGGCTTGTGAGGAAGGGCTGACACTGGGTGACACAGCCTCACTGAGAGGAGTCAAGGCTGGGAAAGGCAATGAGAGGAGCCAGCATAAGGCCCAGACTGAGGCTGGTTTTCTTCAACAAGTCTGCTGGCCCACGTCACAGCCTCCAATTAAGCATCCGTTTGACGCCAGGGAGGTGAAATTGTGCAGACCTGGCACCAGAAGGAACAGATGTGGCATCCACTGCTCCTTTTAAGGACTGGTTCGAGAGCAGCAGGCGCTAGGGAGGAGGTGAGGCAAACACATCAGTACCTTTGTCGGAAAAGGAGGGAGGGCTCTTAGCAAGCTCTCCAGGGCAAGTTCTGCTGCAACTGTAAAAAATAAAATAACATAGGCTTTCCCCATTTTCTCAAACTCTGGGGACACAGTGTTTCCTTTCCCTCTAGCAGGGCAGCTAGCTTAAAAAAAGAGGATCAAAAGTCCCCTTGATGACCATCTGTCAAAACAGAAATACCCTCAGGCCTGGCTGGTGTGGCTCTGTTGTCACAACACTGTCCCTTACACTGAGAGGTGGCGGGTTTGATTCCCGGTCAGGGCACATTCGCAGGTTGTGGGTTTGATCCTCAGCTGGGGCGTGTGCAGGAGGCAGCTGATTGATGTTTCTCTCTCACATCAATGTTTTTTTCTATTTTTCTCCCTTCCTCTCTCTGAAATCAAAATCAAAATAAATAAATAATAATTAAAAACAAACAAACAAAAAAACCCCCAGAAATGCCCTCACCTAAGTTATAGGTTCAGAGGGAAAGGCTGGGCCCGTGGTTCTCAAACTTTAGTGTGTATCAGAATCCTCCAGAAGGCTAGTTGAAATGCAATGCTGGGCTCCATCCCTGACTTTTTCATTCAGTTGGTCTGAGATGGGGCCCAAGACATGGCATTTCTACCAATTGATGGCGATGCTGATGGTGTGGACACTGGTGTGACATTTGCTACTTGCCCCTTCACATTTCTTTCCATACATCAATCTTTCCCAAAGGGACAGACATTCCCTTGAAAATGTATCACCTCGTGTGTGATCACTGTACTTTCATCCCCACCATCTCCAAGCCCTGCCACATCTATTACCTCCATTTGCTCTCATGAATTCACATTTGGTTAGGAGAAGAGAGATGGGTCAAGGGCCATAACCAATGCCATTGCTGAGTCCTCAAGTTTCCTATTTCCCAGTTCAGGGGTCCCTCCCAAGAGCACACTGCCTCCCACCCAGGTCCTTGTGATACTGTGAACTGTCTATGGATCGGAGTCTGGCTGCTGAGACACAATACTGCCTGGACTGACCAGCAGGGACCTGAAGGGGCAAGTGGCCTCCAGAAAGAACACAGTGGGAGGAGACCTCAACGCATGACTCAGAATACTACAGAGGTAGCAGAGAGAGGTATATTTAAAAGAAACTCTTGGGCCCAGCCAGTGTGGCTCAGTGGTTGGGCGTCGACCCGTGCACCAAGAGGTCACCAGTTCTATTCCCAGTCATGGCACATGCCCAGGTTGTGGGCCAAATCCCCAGTGGGGGCATGCAGGAGGTGGCCAATTAATGTTCTCTCATTAATATTTCTATCTTTCTCTCCCTCTCCCTTCCTCTCTCTCTAAAAATAAAGAAAGAAAAAAAAAATAAAAGAAATTCTTGGTAATCGACATAATTACCTTTTTGGACAAATTAGTTTTGGGACTCCTGAGGCTCACTTGGTACACTGTAAGCACTAAATAAATAGCTCTTGAATTAATGGTAGTGGTTTATGGAAAATAATCTAAGCTAAGTTAGAATTTTATTGCTGTTTCACTGATAAACTATTGCAAAAACAGATTACTGAAGTTAAGAAAATAGGGCAGTAACAAGTGTAGATTCTTATTGCGTGACTGTAAATTCCTTGAGGGTGAGAATTGTTTGGTAATCTGGTCTCTCAGTAGTAGCTTAACAAATGTTTCGAGTAGACCAGGGAAACGAGTTTGGTCCATGCTCCTTGCTGACCAGGTGCACCATGGGAGCCATAGCTGTTTCTGCACTTAGGATGGAGAGCCTGGTACAGTCTGGCTGTGTGGTAAAAAAAAAAGTTTTTGTTTTTGTATTTTTAAAATTAGCTACTGGAGGGAACAAAGAGCATAACATGGATTTTCTGGCAGCAGAAACCCACAGGCTATGTCAGCAAGTACAACAGATGTGACCAAAAAACTGTCGATGGAGCAGGTATTTTTATAGCTCAACATTAGGCATAAAGGGCCAGAACAGAGGAGACAATGAATGGGTCACATATTCTATGTTGTCTCCATTAAACACCACATGGAGTAAAGCCGTGGACTTCTGGAGCCTGGAAAGAACGGGCAGGCCAAGTCCAAGTCCCTCAATTTGGAAATAAAGAAAACTGCGGCTCGCGTGGCCAGTGCAGCTGTGATGCGTGCAGGGGTTCTCCTTAGCAATCAGTCCCCTCCCTCAGACCAGAGTACGGGCTGTGATGTGGTCCACAAGTGGATTATGACAGTGACAGCCCAATGACACAAGGAACAAGTCTATCCAACACAGTGACCAACCAGGTGAGCAACCAACTCAGAGCACTGAGCTTAGCGCTGGTCCTGTGAAACGAGCAAAGCCATTGTGGTCCCTCCCTCAACCCAGAGATAAAAAACAAACAAACAAACAAAAAAAAACCCTACAGCTGTGACCCTTTTGTTAATGCAGTTGCAATTCCAGAAATATTTCCATTTTCTGAAGACAGGAAGGGGAGGACAATTATTACCCCTTTTAAATAGCTGTGGTAGCCCTAAAGCTTGGGAGCTGACCTTTCAGTTCCCCTTGAAGAAACATGTAGAAACAAGTAGATACTCTCCACTCAGCATTTCAAAACAGGATATAAATACTCAACTAAAGAACACACTTAGAATTCCCTAGCGAAAACTGAAAAACAAGGTAGACAGAAAATGGTCTCATACTGTGTAGAGCTCTTAGGAAGACAAATATTTCTTATGCTTAAAACTATAAGGAAGCACTTTTTGTACCTCAGCATCCATGGAGGAGAGATATGATACCCACACAAACTCAGTGTGACCAGCTTAGCAAACTCCTGGCCCCTCACCCTCCAAAACTTCATTTTCTTTCTTTCTTTTTTAAATCCTCACCTGAGGACATTTTTGCATTTATCTTCAGATAGAGTGGAAGGGAAAGAGGGAAGGAAGAGAGAGAAATAAACATCAATGTGAGAGACACATCGACTGGTTGCCACCCACAGGACCCCAACTGGGGCCGGGGACAAACTGCAACCGAGGTACGTGCCCTTAGCGGGAACCGAACCCGGGACTCTCCGGTCCACGAGCCAACTCTCCAACTCTCCTGAGCCAAACCGGCCAGGGCCAAAACTTCATTTTCAAAAGAGGATTATCTCTTCCTTCAGACTCAAGCAGTCAGGGAATAAGCAGCGCACAGCAGTACTTCTAATGTAAGCAAACGTCTAGAAATGGGCCTGGTGGTACACATACAAAGCTGTTGAAGGTAAGTAACCCTTTTTGCACAAACCTCCCCCTTCCTGGCTCACAAGCTGATGGACAGTTTTGCAGCTAATTTCTAACCCTTGAAAATAAAGCTATTCAGACCACTGCTCCCCACCAACCGGGCCCTGTTCTGGTGGAACAGTGCCCTTTTCATCAGCCAGCAGGACCCTGCCACACACACTGCTGTATCGGCCCACCGTGTGAAGCCCGGTGCAGCTGCAAAAGCCACATGTCACCATCTACAGAAAGGAGGGGCTGACTAGAACCTGGAAACTCTGTCCCTTCTGCTCTGCCTTACCAAGCCCTCTCACAGAAAGCCATTGTGTAGGCTGAAGAGGGAAATAAAAGAAGGGCGGACTTTTCCAGGCTCCCTGCAAACTACAAGGTGATATAAAAGAGCAGCGGCCACCCCCCAACAGCTCTGGAGAAGTGCAGACCTCAGGGGGCCCCACCAACACTGGCTTCTGGTTGTGTACTGGGCAGCACTAATAGTGAGCTGAGCTCAATTGCTTGCCATGTATTTTGCAGCACAACTAATCCCTTATTTTTGTGCTTTTCACCCACATGTTTTTTATTGTTTGTTTTCTGGGGAGAAAAAGCCTCACCTCTGAAGCAATCTAAAGCTTCTCTCAGCCATTTGGCTCTCTCGCTTACTCCACTGTAGACAAAGCTCTGACCAACCACTGCAGATTCCTTGGTGTCTTTCCCAGTGTTAGCATTTCTTGAACTATCTGGGGGTCAATTGTTTGTTTAAAGGTGAGAACAGTGATGTTATCAGGTGGCTTATCCCCACCTCAGCTCTCAGCCAGCTCAGTATTTGCAATAATTCTTAATATGCATGGTGACTGGTCTCTTAGCTTCCTCAGCTAGGCATCTGCTTAGAGTCCAGTAAAAGCAGAACTTTTTCCAACCCTTTTAAGCTAGATATCGCTGTTCTTCCAACCCTGTCATTGCTTCTGGACTAAGATGGATCCTACCACCCTTCACTAATCAATTCGGTCAAGCCATTGGGCACAGAGAACATTGGGGCAGTTGTTTTTTCCTCCAACAGCTATTTATCAAGACCCATCCACCACATCTCAGACCCCTCTTCCAACCTCTACTTCTACTTCTTCCCCAAGCAATGTGAAAACAGAAACAACTTCCACAGGTTTACGTAGAGTTCTTAGAATGTATTTTTGTTCACCTGAAAAATAAAACTTTTAAAAAATATACAAGACTTTTTGAGTACAGGTATATCTTAAATGGCTGAATTATAAATAATGTCTCTGGTCATGTTCACAGCTAGAGCTGGAACTAATGTACCAATTCCAGTGAAGGCTTTAGAGTCAGGAGGCCAGCAGTTGGACCTATAAGTGGTCTCTCTAGACTCTGATCCGTCCCAGAGTGGATTCAACAGTCCAGAATACAGGGGTTGGATGGGGACAGGGGACTGGATTCCCAGATGTTCTCCTGAAAGTTCAAAGAATTCTTGGAATAAGAGATCAATTTATAAATTATTAAAATATAGGACTAAAAATTCACACAATAAATATAAATTACAGGTTATTATTGAAGTTTATAAAGTGGCATTTTATGTTTCTCATCCCTAGGTCCCCACCAAAATTTTAAAAAGTCTCAGAGGCTTTCTAATGACCAAAGTCAAGTCAGCTGCTCAAAAATCTCCTCCAGCCTAGACACCTTGGGGGTGCTATCAGCCTGTCGCTAGGCTATGACAGCTCAGCTGCAGTTATCTTGTCCACAACAGGACACGGCTTAAAGCAAGGCTGTTCATCCTATAAACTTGGATCAGAGCTAACTAGAGTGTAGGCCAGAAAACTGGAGAGACAAACTGTTTCAGGACTCAGGTGGCTAAATTTTTGCCTTTTTTTTTTTAAGTGCCTCATTTCCCAAAAAGGAAACACTAAGGGGTTTGATATCTTGTCATTACCCACACTCAGTTGCTTAAAAGCAAGTGGCAGAAGGAAATGGAATCCGAATTAAGGATGTAGAATTCTTGCTGTCCCAGAGCGATATAAGTGTCATTTCCTTTGATATTTCTCATCTCAATGAAAGTGCAGGCTGCATATAAGTTTATCAGAAGAGGTAAAAGACAAGCCAATTTAAGCTCTCCACCATTGGTCTATTAACTGGCTATCAAAGCACAATCCTGAGTTTGAAGCCCACCTTTTAAAAACCAGAGGATGTACTTAAAACTCTGGTTTCACAACAAATTTCATTCTAATCACAGGGCTATATTGTCACAACTCAGGAAAGAGGGAAGGCTAGGATAACTGCAAGATTTTAAGGAGCAGGAAAAAACAAAACAAACACTTGTGAGTCACTCTACTTAAAAAAGCTTGCTCTTCCTAAAAAACTGAGGAGAAGGCCGAGGATTCAAGCACAAATGCTCTTTCCCTTCCTTCTTCCCTGGCCCATATCCAGATACTGAGGGTACAACAGGAAACTTCTCGGGTGGGGGCACTAGGGTGGGAAGAGGAGGAAATTAGTATAGTCCTCACCCTCCCTAAACTGCTTCTACTTCTCCTAAGGGTTTCCACTGTCCTTTCAACACGTGTAAGAATGATTATACTCTTTTGTGTCATAAACCTATCTTTCCGAAATAGGAGGGGGAATAGGGGAAAGATTGGGTGATGAAAAAAAACAGTATCTGTGCCCTCGGTCTAGCTGCACTTTGGGGCCCAGCAAATAGCCCTTGCCTGACCCCATCAGTCAGTAGCTACCCAGGGTGTAGGAGAATATATATAATTCTATGTAATTACAGTTTCTAGTGCATATGTCAACAGCTATATACAGGGATCTATAAATTAACTGCATTTGTGGCCACTGCAACTAGGTTGACGTACCTGAGCTCCACTACTTTTGGTGCCCTCCTCCTTCCGACAGCTTCAGCTTATTTAAGAGCCCCTACAGCTCCCTCCATCCCCTGAGTCTTGGGGGAGAGCCCGAGTCACCCCTGCACGTAGGCTACGCAAGTGCAAGCGGCGCAGAAGGGTTCGGTGCTGGGATCTCCCCACCCCTCCCCCCACCCCCCTAATGGCTCCTGGCCCCGGGGCCGCGGCACAGTCCTGGGAGGACCAAACCCCCGAGTCCTGGACGAATCGTGGTCCCTTGGCTGAAGATCGGCCAGCAGGCCACTCGTCCCCGCAAGTCGGCGACCCTTGCGGGAAGGGGGGCGTTCACTCCCGAGAGGGTCACTTCCGTGGGCTCTCCGCCCCGTCCTGCTGCAAAGTCCTGCCTCCAGGCTTGGGGATGGTTCTCCGCCGGCCCTGGTGCGGAAGGGCTCAACGCCTCCCGGGCGCCGCCGCCGCTTCCTCCTCGTCCTCCTCGGGCCCCCGCGGCCGCTCCAGCGGCCCGGCCGGGGGGCTGTCGGCAGAAGGCTCAGGAGCTGTGGGCCCTGCCGCCTGCAGCGGGGGCGCGTCGCGCGGCGCCTCGCGGCGGGACGACCCGGTGGCATTGGGCCCCACGGCCGCCGCCCCCGAAGTCCCGGACGGGCCGGTGGCGTTGGAGCCGCCGGGGGGCGGGCCGGCTGCTCCCCCCGAGGTCCCGGCGCCCACCGGCTGCCAGATGAGGCTGTAATAGACGGCGAGCACGATGGCGGCCAGCGACACGGAGAGCACGTAGGCGAACACGGTGGCGAGCCGGACCCACTTCTTGTTGGTCTTGGCGGCCATCTTCGCCTTCTTGTCCCCAGTGTAGGTGGCCGGCTTGCCCCGCTCGGCCGGGGCCGCGTCGCGCTCCTTCATGGGGGGGCCCCGGCCTTTGCCCCGGTGCTCCACGGCCCCGGCTGGAGGGGGCCCGGCGGCCAGCGAGGACTGGGCGAGGGGCGGCCCGGCGCCCTAGGTTCCCGGCCGCTTCGCCGCCGCTCCTCACGCCGCCCGCCCGCAGCCCGCCACCGCGTCGCTGCAGCCGCCGCCGCCGGGGCCTGGACCAGTCACCGCCGCCAGCGCCGCCGCCGCCGCCGGCCCGTCAGCTGCTTCCCCGCCGCCGCCACAGCCACAGCCGCCACAGCCGCCCGGCTCCGCGTCCCCATCCGCCGCCGCCACCGTCCGCCCGGCCGCGGGCCGCTCTGTCTCCAGTGGCCGCGCCGACCGCGCGCTCCGCTCCGGCCAGGCTCCCCCGCCTCGCGCGCCGGCAACAGGGGGCGGGGAGAGCGCGGCTGGGGGCTGCCTCTTAAAAGGGCGACGCCGGGGTCCGGAAGTGCCGCGCGGGGGGCGGGCTCCAGTCGGGCGCCGCCAGCCCCGCCGGGACGCCCCGCTACGAGAGAGTTAAAGGAGGCTGGTTCTTAAAGGGGCGACATCGCGCGGCCCTGCGCCGCTGGCGCGGTGAGGGTGGGAGCTCCGGCGCCTCTTTAAAGGGGGCACAGCGTCGTTCGGGGAGGAGTGCGGGGCGGGACGGGGGCGGGAAGGGGCGGTCGGGGTGCGGAGCTGTCGTCTCCGGCAACTCTCCCCTCTGTCCTCATTGTCCCAAGGGACGGGTGGAATAGCAGCACCAGCTTCGGCCCCCAGGCCTCAGTTTACCCCAGAGTGGGGGCGATACCACGCTCGTGCTTTCGGGTCGAGCCCCGCGCCAGCACCCTCCGGGCGCGTCTTCCAGACCCCCGTCTACCGAGAGACTAGCCCACGTCCCGCGTAGGCAGACGGGGACCAGCAGCGCTCGCGGTGGTCGCGGTTGGTGGCGCCCCTTCCCCGCCGGCCTCTCTCACTTCCCAGTCGCGTCTGGGCTTGGGGGCTTTGCTGAAGTCTGTCCGCTCCCTTGTCCTCTTAGAGCCCCGAGTCCGTTTGCCCAGACCTTCCAGAGCTCCCAGGACAGCACCACGTGCTAAGCTGGTTTTGCAGACTCGCCTCCCACTTTAGTGCCAAAGTTTGCAACAGGTCTCGGGTCCCGCTTTTGGGGGCTTCCGACCCCTAGGTCAAAGGGCTGCACTGAACCCGCGGAGCGGCTCCCAGAGCTCTTCCCCTCTCTGATCCTCTCCTGGCCTAGAGGTTTGTTCCCTCGCCTTCCTTCCCATGTGAGGTTTGTCCTCTTTCCTGTGGATCCTGACGACTCCTCGGACTCTCAGCAGCGGTTTCCCCGTGTCTGCCCCCTCCTTCTGCCCTCTTCTCTCCTGCCTTCTCTTCTTCCTGTTCCCTCTCTACAAGGGTTTCCAGAATTTCTGGCTCCGTTCTCCTTGAATTCTACTTCCCATGTTCCCAGAACTGGATGTATGGACCACCTGAGTGTCTCAGTGGGTGTGGGGTACTGTGCCTGAGTGGGGAGAGGACTATGGTTGTGATGGGCTTCTGTGGGTGAACAGCCTTCCCCCCAAGTTCTGCTCTTGCAGATGTGAGTCTGACTCTGCGGAGCAGGACCCTCTCGCCTTTCCCATTCCCCTCATCCTACACAGGAAATCCTTGGTATCCAGACATGATGCCTCCTCACGAGGAATCCCTTTCCCAACTCTGCTGCCCTGCCCCCACTCAGGGTAGCCTAGTGAGAGAAATCAGAGAATCAAGGCAAGGTGGGGACAGAAAGGGCCCAAAAGGTCTTTTCTTTTTTTCTTTAAATCCTTACCCAAGGATCTTTCTCCATTGATTTTTAGAGGGGCAGGTAGGGAAGGAGGGAGGGGGGGAGAGAGAGAGAGAGAGAGAGAGAGAGAGAGAGATGTGTCTTCAGTTGGTTGCCTCCAGTATGACCCTGACCTGAGCCTGCAAATCAGGTAAGATGTGCCCTTGACCTAATCGAACCTGTGACCCTTTGGTCTGCTGGCTGATGCTCTAACTGCTGAACCCAACCTGCCAGGCCAAAAGGTCATTTTTTGTAAATACCCCATGGACCCTAGAACTTCCTTACACAACATCCCAATGGAACACTCTTCAGTGTCAACTAAAAGACCCTCCTTGATGGTGAACCTTGCCTGCTCCCTAAGACAGCCTTCTCAGGCTTTGGAAAGTTCTGACCCATTACACACAAAAGTCAAGTGACTACCAGAGCTGAGTGTACAGATGGCTGAGGGAACCAGAGGCCTATAACCCAACCCCTCACTCTCATTCCTGAGGCCCAGATGTGAGTCTGCCACTAACAGTGGTCAACTGGATGCTATTTCCAGGAGTAGACTGTCTTCTCACTTCTGAGAAATGTCAAGGACATTGGGAGTTCAGAATGTGTATTGTCTTCTGTTGGGCTGATGGGGAAAAGACAACCACTTCTTCCCCATCCTGCTCCCAGGTCAGCCACAGCCTGTCTAGCAGGGTGGCCTGTTAAGTTAAAATCCCCGAATTGTCTCTGGATGCTGTCCTCTGTCCTCTCTTCTCTCCCCTGCTCTCTGGCTTTCTTGGCAGGGCTGATCATGCCATCTATACCAAGGTGAATTATTCTGAAAGATTCCAAGTAAGACCAACCCAAATCCTCCTTCTACCCTCTTTCTTGAATTCACTCCTCATTTCTTCCATTGCAAATTAAACTTCTTTCTTCTTGCTTGGTTCTCAGTGAAGTGGAAAACAGCACGTCATTCTTTTCTATACTAAATAATAAATATACTTGAAGCACTTATTCAGTTCTTCTCACCCTATTTTTCTCCAAACTAAACAGTGCCAGATTCTTTAACCTATCGTCAATAAGCCCTATTTATTATCTGGATTTACATAGTGTCTTTTACCCTAGAACTCAAATTGCTTTCAGATATAATTGAGCCTGATCTCCCTGGTGCCTGAGCCATTAAGAAACCATTAGTGTATTCCTGCTGCAGGCAACTAAATGGCCCCCTAGTGGCCTGAAAGTGAATATTATTCTTTAAGTGCCTCTCCTGGATTAAGGGTAGGCAGAGTGTGAGAAATTAGAATCAAGGCAGGGTGGGAACAGAAAGGGTCCAAAAGGTCATCTTTTGAAAATACCCCCAACCCTAGAACCCCCTACACGACATCCTTATGGAGCACTCTTCAGCGACAACTAAAAGCCCCTCCATGCTGATGTACCTTGTCTGCTCCTAAGGAGCCTTCTCAGGCTTTGGAAAGTTCTGACCAATGACGACAGCAGCAACATCCAGGTCCTTATTGTGTGCTAGGCACCATGAGAAGCACCTACATTCCTTGTCTCATTTACCTCACAACAACGTATCAGGTAGTTACTCTGGAAGGGTTGGTGATTCCTCTTGACAAATAGGCATGTATTCTAGATATGGATTCTCTTTCTTGCTGAAGATCTCAACCAGCACCACTTTCTTTTTTTTTTTTTTTTTAATTTATTTTTATCCTCACCCGACAACATTTTTTTTGATATTTTGTTCAGATGGAGTGGGAGGGAGAGAGAGAGACAAACATGTGAAAGGGACACATCGAGTTGCTGCCACCCATACAACCCAACCAGGGCCGGGGACAAACTGCAACCGAGGTACGTGCCCTTAGCGGGAACCAAACCTGGGTCTCTCCAGACCGCAGGCCGACGCTCTAACCGCTGAGCCAAACCGGCCAGGGCAACCAGCACCACTTTCTAAGGGCTTAAAGAGTATTTGATTCAATGACTAACTTGGAATCTCACATAATGTTGCATCAGATCAAGAGTCCCACTTTATAGCAAAAGAGTGCTCGTGTATGTAATCTTCTGGGCATATTGCACACTTTGCTGCCCACTGGTGAATAGAGTTGACAAAGTAAAAGGATAGCCTTTCAGAGGTGCAGCTGAAACACCATTTCAGGACGCCATGCTCTGGCATGAAGTACGCACCCTATCCAATAACTATAATATGGTGCTGTGGCCCAACAGCTAAAATACAGAGATCCCTGGGCAGGGGAGATTTGTGGTTCCTATTCCTACAGTTCCAGGCTCTGTGGGTTTAGAGAATCTGGGTCCCAGGGGTGGAACACTTCCTGCAAGAGACAGAACAAAAATCCCATAAATGTTCACTGTGGCTGTTTATCATCCTGCAGACTCCTTGTGCCAAGAGACCAGCAGGCAAAGAAAGAAGTGACTTCCTGGCAGGGATATGTGACCCTGATCCTTTAGAAAAGATGGGGCTGCTGCTACATGGTGGGGTTAGGGAAGAATATGTTTGGCACCCAGGTGATGCACTGGGGTGTCTCTTGTTACTCCCTTGCCCAATTTTGATAGAAGATAGACAGATTCAGAAGCTTGGTTTGAGATGGGCGGGGTGATTAGGGGCTCAGACTCCTCAGGAATGCCACCAGGTAAGCCACCTAGACCAGCAGAGGCACAAGCTGAAGGTAAAGATAATATAGAATGGGTAATGGGGTAGGGGGAATGCTGAATATCAGTGACATCAAGACAAGCTGCAGTAGTGGGGAGTCAGGACTGAGCAGAGGAATAAATTGATCAGTGATGCAGCCACAACAAAGGATGCCTCCACAGGGACCTCTGGGGTTGGGGTGACCCTTCAGACCTGGCCCCAACTGAGGCAAGAGGACTGGACCTTTGAATCCCCACATTGACCAGGCAAGATTATCCCTAGGAAGGGCGAATAAAGTCCAGCAAAGCAGCTCCTTTTGGAAGTGCCCAGAGAGAGATTCAGCTCTAAGCCATTAGCAACCAACACTCCTGGTAATTTGGGATTGTTTTTGGTCCCAAATGCAGGATTTGGGTGGTGTACCACAGCAAGTACAGCAGTACTCCTTTGACATGGCTTAGACCTGCATGCTTCATATGGTAAGGTTGCTTTGCTTGGTAATAGCTCCACCAGAATTCTGTAGACTGTTTTCTCTGGGAAACTTACAGGAAGGTAAGTAGGAGGAACTATTGCCCCCACTCCATGAGCCCTTCCTAGGGATAATCTGCCTGGTCAATGTGAGGAATCAAGAGTCCAGCCCTC